GCACAGGGAGAGTCAGCGCTGGGCACGGGGAGAGTCAGCGCTGGGCACAGGGAGAGTCAGCACTGGGCATGGCGAGAGTCAGCACTGGGCACAGGGAGAACACGGGAAGAGTCGGCACTGGGCACGGGGAGAACACAGGGAGAGTCGGCGCTGGGTACGGGGGGAGTCACTGCTGGGCACAGGGAGAGCCAGCGCTGGGCACGGGGAGAGTTGGCCCCTGGGCACGGGGAGAGCACGGGAAGATTCAGCACTGGGCATGGGGAGAGCACAGGGAGAGTCAGCACTGGGCACAGGGAGAGTCAGCACTGGGCATGGGGAGAGTCAGCACTGGGTACAGGGAGAGCACAGGGAGAGTTAGCGCTGAGCACGGGGACAGTCACTGCTGGGCATGGGGAGAGCACAGGGAGAGTCAGCGCTATGCACGGGGAGAGCATGGGGAGAGTCAGCGTTGGGCACGGGGAGAACACAGGGAGAGTCAGCGCTGGGTACGGGGAGAGTCACTGCTGGGCACAGGGAGAGCCAGCGCTGGACACAGGGAGAGTTGACGCTGGGCAAGGGGAGAGTCGGCACTGGGTATGGGGAGCAGCGGCGCTGGGTACAAGGTATCATCACTGGATATAGACCTGGATAAGAGTATCAGTACTGGATATAGAGAGTGCCAGCACTGGATAAGGGTATCAGCACTCTATATTGAGTGTCAGCACTGGATATAGAGAGTTGGCACTGGGTAGGATTGCCAGCACTGGGTTAGTGTCAGCCCTGAGTAAGAATGCCGGCACTGGTTATAGTGAGTGCCAGCACTGGGTATGGACTGTGCCAGCGCTGGAAATAGAGAGTCAGCACTGGGTATAGACTGTCAGCACTAAAAACAAAGAGTCAACACTGGATATAGACTGTCAGCACTGGGGATAGAGAGAGTTAGCACTTGGTAAGAGTGTCAGCACTGGATAGAGAGAAAGTCAGCACAGGGTATAGAGAGAGTCAGCACTGGGTATAGGGAGAGTCAGCACTGGGTAAGAGTGTCAGCACTGGATATACAGAGTGTCAACACTGGGTAACAGTGCTAGTACTGGGTATGGAGAGAGTCAGCACTGAGTAAGGGTGCCAGCACTGGGCAGAGTGAGTGTCAGCACTGGATAGAGAGTCAGCACAGTGTATAGATAGAATCAGCACTGAGTATATGGAGAATCAGCAACGGGTGTAGAGAGTATCAGCACTGGGTATAGAGAGAATCAGCACTGGGTATAGACTGTCAGCACTGGAATAAAGAGATTCAACATTGGGTAACATTGTTAGCACTGGATATATAGAAAGTCAACACTGGGTAAGAGTATCAGCACTGAGTATATGGAGAATCAGCAATGGGTATAGTGTCAGCACTGGGTATAGAGAGAGTTAGTACTTGGTAAGAATGTCAGCACTGGGTAGAGAGAGAGTCAGCACTGGATAGACAGAGGGTCAGCACTGGGTAGGTGTGTCAGCACTGGAAATAGAGAGTCAACTCTGTGTAGGAGTGTCAGCACTATGTATAGAGAAGAGTTTGCACTTGGTAAGAGTATCAGCACTGGATAGAGAGAGAGTCAGCACTGGGTAGGAGTGTCAGCATTTGGGAATAGAGAGAGTCAGCACTGGGTATAGCAAGAGTCAGTACAGGGTACAGAGAGAGTCTACACTGGGTATAGACTGTCAGCACTGGTTATAGGGAGAATCAGTATTGGGTATAGAGAGAGTCAGCACTGGATATAGAGAGAATCAGCACTGGGTATGGAAAGAATCAGTGCTCGAAATAGGGAGTCAACATTGGGTAAGAGTGCCAGCAATGTGTATAGAGAGAGTCAGCATTGGGTATAGACTGTCAGCACTGGGTATAGGGAAAGTCAGCACTGGGTATAGGAAGAATCAGCACTGGAAATAGAGAGTCAACATTGGGTAAGAATGTCATCACTGGATAGAGAGAGTCAGCATGGTGTACAGAGAGAGTCAGCACTGGGTATAGACTGTCAGCACTGGAAATAGAGAGTCATCTCTGGGTAAGAGTGTCAGCACTATGTATAGAGAAGAGTTTGCACTTCGTAAAAGTATCAGCACTGGATAGGAGGAGAGTCAGCACTGGATATAGAGAGAGTCAGCACTGGGTAGGAGTGTCAGCATTTGGCAATAGATAGAGTCAGCACTGGGTACAGAGAGAGTCTACACTGGGTATAGAGTGTCAGCACTGGGTATAGAGAGAGTCAACACTAGGTGAGTGTCAGCACTGGGTATAGGGAGAATCAGTATTGGGTATAGAGAGAGTCAGCACTGGGTATAGAGAGAATCAGGGCTCGAAATAGGGAGTCAACATTGGGTAAGAGTGCCAGCACTGCGTGTAGAGAGAGTCAGCATTGGGTATAGACTGTCAGCACTGGGTATAGAGAGAGTCAGCACTGGGTATAGAAATAATCAGCCCTGGGTATATGGAGAATCAGCACTGGGTATAGAGAGTGTCAGCATTGGGTATAGAGAGAATCAGCACTGGGTGTAGAAAGAGTTAGCACTTGGTAAGAGTGTCAGCACTGGATAAGGAGAGTCAGCATGGTGTATAGAGAGAGTCAGCACTGGATATAGGGAGAATCAGCATTGGGTATAGAGTGTCAGCACTGGGTACAGAGAGAATCAGCACTGGCTAAGAGTGTCAGCACTGGATATACAGAAAGTCAACACTGGGTGAGTGTCAGCACTGGGTATAGAGTGAGTCAGCACTGGGTAGGAGTCTCAGCACTTGGGTACAGAGAGAGTCTACACTAGGTATAGAGTGTGCTAGCACTGGGTATAGACTGTCAGCACTGGAAATAGAGTCACCTCTGCTTAAGAGTGTCAGTACTAGGTATAGAGAAGAGTTATCACTTGGTAAGAGTGTCAGCACTGGATAGAGAGAGAATCAGCACTGGTAGGAGTGTCAGCACTGGGTATAGAGAGAATCAGGACTGGGTAGGAGTGTCAGCACTGGAAATAGATAGTCAACATTGGGTAAGAGTGTTAGCACTGAATAGAGAGAGTCAACATAAGCGAGGCAGGTAGAGGGATGCTGCAGTCAGGAACAGAGGCGCCTCATCTCTTGACCTCGTCCAACAGGTACGAGGTACTTGCTCCCTGTGTGGATGAGGAAAGGGGCTGCAGGGAGGATGAGACAACTGACCACTGCACTGTGGTATGGGAGGCCATTCAAGAGGGGGGAACAAAAAGACAGGTGGTAGTTGTAGGGAATTCTATAATTAGGGGGATAGATAGTATCCTTTGCAACCAGGATCGAGAGTCCCGCATGGTGTGTTGCCTGCCCAGTGCCAGGGTAAGGGATATCTCTGACTGGCTGGAAAGAATATTGGAGCGGGAGGGAGAGGATCCAGTTGTTGTGGTCCACGCCGGAACAAACAACGTAGGCAAGACTAGGAAAGAGGACCTGTTCAGAGATTATCAGGAGCTAGTCACCAAATTAAAGAACAGGTCCTCAAGGTTATAATCTCCGGATTGCTGCCCAAGCCACGTGCTAATTGGCAGAGGGACATGAGAATAAGGGAAGTAAACACATGGCTAAAAGAGTGTTGCGGGAAAGAGGGGTTCCTTTTCATGGGTCACTGGCATCAGTATTGGAACAGGAGGGATCTGTACCGCTGGGATGGTCTCCACGTGAACCGATCTGGGACCAACGTTCTAGCGAAAAGGGTAAATAGGCTGGTCAACAGGACTTTCAACTAGAAAGCGGAGGGGAAGGGAATGGTGAAACTTGTCCCAGTGGGAAACAAAGCAGCAGGTTAACATCTGTAGTGGTGGATTCAACTATGTGGAAAAATATGAAAGAAATTACAGGGAAGGAGAACTCAGGAGAGGTTATTAAAGTCTCCAGCAAAGACACAAATAGGACACAGTGTTTGGAAAGGGCTAGCAATCAAACACTGGAAAAACTAATGAAAATGAGAACAGGGAGGGTTAATACAGGACTGAAGGTGTTATATCTGAATGCACGCAGTATAAGGAATAAGGTAAATGAGCTTGTGGCGCAGATCGAAACTGGCAGGTATGACGTGGTAGACATCACGGAGACATGCTACAAGGGGATCAGGATTGGGAACTGAATATCCAAGGATATGCATCCTATCGAAAAGATAGGCAGGTGGGCCAAGGGGGTGGGGTTGCCTTATTAGTGAGAAATGAAATTAAATCAATAGGAAGAAATGAAGTAGGGTCAGATGGTGTAGAATCTGTGTGGGTAGAATTGAGGAACCGCGAAGGTAAATAAACTATAGTTGGAGTTGTGTACAGGCCTCCAAACAGTAGTCAGGAGCTGGGGCGCAAGATATACCAGGAGATAGAAAAGGTGTGTAAGAAAAGCAAAGTCACAGTGATCATGGGGGATTTCAATATGCAGGTGGACTGGGAAAATCACGTTGGTAGTGGATTGCAAGAAAAGGAGTTTGTGGAATGTCTACGAGATGGCTTTTTGGAGCAGCTCATGTTGGAGCCCACAAGGGAACAGGCAATACTGGATTTAGTGTTGTGCAATGAGGCAGACTTGATAAGGGAGCTTAAGGTAAAGGAACCCTTAGGAGGCAGTGATCGTAAGATGATAGAATTTATTCTGCAATTTGAGAGGGAGAAGATAGAATCAGAGGTAACGGTATTACAGCTGAATAAAGGCGACTGCAGAGGTATGAGGGAGGACCTGGGCAGAATTGACTGGAAGAGGA